TCATATCTTTTCTTTTAATGAAGGTTAATACCTTTATAAAATTATAAATTCTAAATATTGTATAAATATTATATATTTGACATATATTTTAGTTCTACGTATATAATCACTAATCTTTTCCTTTTCTTTTCTTGAGATTGGAAAAAATTGAATTATGAAATGGAAATTAACGTTTAATAAGTTTTTTTAACTAAATAGTTAATTAATATTAGATCTTATTAAAGAAAAATAGAGAAAAATATAGAAAAGTTTTAATTTTAATTTTAATTTTTTAAAAGTTTGGTCTATCCGACCCAATCTGACACCCGTGCAGGTGGATTATGAGTCAACCTCTTTAACCTGACACCTGAAATGACCCAATCTGAATAATCTAAAATTTAAGATAACTCAATTCGAACCCATCCAATCTGACCTGTTTGCCAGGTCCTCAAATCATATTACACTTAGTTTGAGAATAATTCTTCTTTAATCTAATGGAAGGTATCTTGTCTGTACTAAAATATAAAATTAAAAAATTCATAAAAATTTACGTTTTAATATCTTTTAAAGAAGGAAAATGCTATTGGGACAATAATTTTATCTCATCTTTTTGAATAATCTTACGTGTCATTAAAAATGATTAGTTTTTTTAATTCATATGGAACCAATGATATTAAATACATTTACTAATTTAATGACATATGAAAATTATATAAAAAATAAAGACAAAAAAATTATCCCTACAACACTACCCTTTAAAGAATTGAATCGTGATAAACAACATGAATGAAAGCAAATTCCTTCGTAACCTACCCACAATTCTTTGAGTATTAAATAGCATTTATGAATCAACAATAAAGAATTTGAACAATTTATTTTCGAATAAGTATTTCACTTAATATATTGCACTTTTAATGTATATAATTTACCATATAAAATATATATCCTATTCACTTTTATCAAAAATAAAATTAAACAATTTACTATCCTAACATTTTAAATTATAATAGCTCCTAAGTTTTAATTTTATCTATTTATATTGAAAAACTAATTAAGCTATTTATATTGTTAAGAAAAACTAATTAAAGGATATTAGAAATTAGAAATTAATAACAGAAAGAAACTCCCTTCCGTCCACCTTTTGCCCTTCCCCTGCCTCTCTCTCTTTATTCTGCATCTGCATGCCCTCTTTCCTATACCTCCTCTACTCA